AATTCATTACGTTGAGATAAGGAAGAATTAATAATAATTGTTATATAATAATTATTTATAATAAATGTAAAACTCCTTGTAGCCAAAAAAATGGGGTTAATGGCATAAAGGAATATTAAAATTAATTGAAGGGGGAGATAACATTTAATACACTGAATATCCAGATCAATTAAATTCAATAGCAATGGGACCAGCACTGTGGCTCAGTGGGTTTTAAATCCCTCATCTACAGTGCTGGCACCTCATGTGGGAGCCAGTTAGAGTCCTGTCTACTCCACTTCTGATACAGGTCCATGCTAATGGGCCTGGGAAAATGGCAGCAGATGGCCCAAGTGCTTGGGTCCCTGCAACCATGTGGGGCACCTAGAAGCAGATCCTGGCTTCTGGCTTTGGACAGGCCCAGCTCAGGCCATTGTGGACATTTGAGAAGTGAATCAGCTGATGGAAGACCTTCCTCTCTGTCTCTATCTCTCTATAGCTGTCTTTAAAATAAATAATAAAAATCAATAATAATGGCAAAACATCTCATAAAGTCAGATAATCTTGTTTAAACTTATACTAGAAGGTTGATATTAGTACCTTCCTTATTTTTGAATATTTATTTATTTACCTGACAAGGAAGGAAGAAAAGAGGAGGGGAGGAGGGGGAGAGAGAGACAGAGAGATCTTCCATCTGCTGGTTCACACCCCCTGAACGGTGAACAGTTAGGTCTGGTCCAGTCCGAAGCCAGGAACCAGGAGCGCCATACAGTTTTCCCACATGAGTGCAGGGGCCCAAGCCTTTGGGTCATCCTCTGCTACTTTCACAGCCACACAAGCAGGCAGCTGGATTGGGAGCAAGGGCTTAATCTGTTGGTCCACTACAGCTGCTTTATGTGAGCTTTCTGAAGTACCCATGTCCTATCTCTGTTCAAGCACAAGTTATTCAGAATTTTAAGTTTGTTTTCCTCCTGATTTCTCTATTAGACTTTGGATTCCTTAAAGGTCCATGTGATATTTATCTTCACATCTCCAGTGACTCCTAACCTGAAGATATTAGTATAAATGTTCTGAAAGCATTGACAGATGAACCTAGATAAACCCATGACCAAAGAAAACCCTAAACACTATCAATATAAAGTCATTAAGAAAATGACATTGAACTCCAAATAAGCACAGATTACTTATAATTGTCAAGACTAGAAAATACTTCATGGTGACAAACTCAGTCCTTGAAGAATGAATTCTCTGGAATCCAACAGAGAGCAGTGGAGGGAAGCAGGGCAGTGTAAGGAATATTCCAAAGCACTGAAAAAGGAAAGCATAAAACTTGCTCATGGAATAATGCCAGAATCACTGGTCTAAAAGGGAACTGAGTAACTGAGTTTGTGTTAGGACTCATGTGTCTGCAGGCCATGGGGAGTCACAGAAGGTTCTTACCAGTAGCAAGACTGTAAATGTGCTGGGAGAAGTGTGATTACAATACATGGAGAGGACTGGATGTGGGAAGATAGTAGACTCAGAGAAAAATTAAACAAGAGACTGTATATAGTGGCAAAAATACTTGAAACAGCAATAAAAATGGAATGAAACTAACAAACACAGGACTGTTACATCTAATGATCCTCTAATTAGTATTTAAAACTATCAGTTTTATAACCGTCATTTCTTTACTCCTAGTCTTTAGTTTAAGTCATGAACACTACTTGACTTGGAACACTGCAATAGGATCCTAGACACTTTTCCAGGCTCTGTGCTCACATTCACCTTCATCCCGCTGCAGCAGCCAGAATTATCTTTTTAGGTAAGATAATCCTGCTCAGTATTCTCCAGTAGCTTCCAATTGCAATGGAAATGAAATGCAAACTTCTCACTGCTGTAAGACTCTGTCTCGCCTTTGCCCTCTTCTCAGATTCCCCATGATACATCACCTGGCTGTGGTCACACCTGTCTTAGTTACTCTCATTTTCATTGAGAGACTTCATATCACAAGCCCCTCAGCCAGGAACAATCTCCTCCTACACTCTCACATGTCTAGCTTTTAAAATATTTTCACATCTCAGCTCAAATATCACTTGTTCAGAGATCAAATGTCCTGATTCTGATCACAAGTCCTAAGATAGTGATCACAAGTCCTAAGGTAGCCATCCCTCTAGCAGATTCTAAGTATCCTCCTACCCTGCGTTATTCTTTCAGAGTAACGATCACCTTCAACAGTTACCCTTCTCTTTCTGTACATCTCAACACTGTTCCTCCACCACAGGAAGAAAAGACATTCTGTGGTAGGAGGACCTTAGTCATGTCACCATTCTGTTCCCCTCATGCAAAGGATGAGGCTAGATCATAATAGATAATCAATGTACATGTTACAAAGTCAAAATTCTAATTACAGATTCTAGGGAACGAATAGCACTGTACAAGCTTCTCTGAGCTGTACTTTGCTTCTCCTCTTACTATGTTATGAACTGCTTTACAGACTGGATTGAAAGATGTGGATGTGAGATCATGTTGCACCTTATAAAGCCATTCAGGGTTTGTGATTAAGCGATTTAGTGGCTTTAAAAATAAGACTGACTGCTTTACTTTACATGCTAAGTAAAGGAGGCTTGGGGACTAAGTCTGAACATGGATGAGGCCATGGACAGCCTTCAAGAATGAAAAAAGAGGGAAGCCCCCTAGCTACACACGAATCTATAGCATTTCCTAAGTGAATCTTGGCTTTACAATATTAATTAAAATATACTAGTGGGGACAAGTTTAAAAAATGATTCATATATAATCTGTATTTGTATCTTTTATTTTTGTTATTTTATAGTTTTATGGAAAAAATGCACAAAGCATAAAACCAAACAGTTGAAAGAATACAGTTTTCAAGAACTGATACTTGGGGCTGGTGCTGGAGAACAGTAGGTTAAGTGGTTGCTTGCAACACTGGCTGCCCATATCAGAGTGCTGGTTTGAGTCCCAGCTGTTCCTTTTCCTAACCAGCTTCCTGCTAACATGCCTAGGAAAGCAGCCAAAGATGGCTCAAGTACTTGGGCCTCTGCCACCCATGTGGGACACCTGGATGGGGCTTCTGATTCCTTGCTGTAGTCCTCCCCAACCCTGGCCATTGTATCCACTTTGGGAGTGAACCAGTAGATGAAAGTTCTCATTCTCTCTCTCACTCCCTCTCTCTCTCTTTCCTTCTCTGTTCACTCTGCCTTTCAAAAAAAAATAAATTTTTTTATTTAAAGAAAACCCAATTTTCTTATTACACTGTGCAACAGAAATGTTTGAGCCAAGTAGTCAAAATGCTGAGCAAGCTCCCAACCTCACTTCCTGTTTGTGTGGCTATCAGAGATTTACCCACCTCCCCTCTTCCACCTTGGTTGCTATTTGTTAACTAATCTGGCTCCCACAGAATCTGAGTGTGTGACTGCATAGTTGCCATAATCCCTCCATTTCCATTAACCATGTGTAAAGAGATTAATTGTAATCCTAATCAGTAGACAGACCAATCTGAAGTTGTCACATTTGTAAAGATAACTTCCTAGTACGTTTTAAGAGATACTTTTACTGCTCGGTTAACAATCAGTGTTGCACATTCTGATTTTATGAGGTCTGCTTTACCGCCTGATTACCCAGATACTTCAATGGTTAATGAGGAAATGGCTCCTTCCATTTTATTCAAATATTTCTTGTGTGTCTCTTGAGTACAATACAATGATGATGTACTTTCTGAAACTATATACTGGGGAGAGGAAACACTGACACCTGCACCTCTTTTAGAGTAGCTTCTCTACACAGTGAGCTCACTGGGTACCTCAAGCCAACAAAAATGATCTCCCTCTGCATGCCACAGTTATCTACAGCTGTGCTTTAATCTGAACTCTCAATTCCTCTGAATTATTTTCATCTTAAAATAGAAAATTTCATCTGTTAAAATGCAGTGTAACCTTAACAGCAGACCACATCATCTGAATGTGCAGTGTTTGGGACATGGGAAGAGATGAATGTGGAAATCCAGAGGTCTGGGTATTTTAACAGATAGTAGGAGCTGAATTAGGAGCACACAGGTAAGGCTACAGAAGGATGCAAAGGAAGCCACTGGAGGTACTCATGACACTGTACACTGCACCCATGGCTAGTTTCAGATCCTGATGAGTAAATTAACCTTACTACTATCTATGTGATGCCTTACAATTTAAAGCATGAACTCGGCTGGTGCCGCGGCTCAATAGGCTAATCCTCCACCTAGCAGTGCCGGAACATGGGGTTCTAGTCCCGGTTGTGGCACCAGATTCTTTCCCGGTTGCCCCTCTTCCAGGCCAGCTCTCTGCTGTGGCCCAGGAAGGCAGTGGAGGATGGCTCAAGTGCTTGGGCCCTGCACCCAATGGGAGACCAGGAGAAGTACCTGGCTCCTGGCTTCAGATCAGCATGGTGCACTGGCCACAGCGCATGAGCCATGGCAGCTATTGGAGGGTGAACCAACGGCAAAAGGAAGACCTTTCTCTGTCTCTCTCTCTCACAATACACTCTGCCTGTCAAAAAAACATCTCTAATCCAATACAAAACTAGATTTTTAGATTAGGGATGATGGTGTTCGGTTTGGCAGCACATATACTAAAATTGCATTAGGAATGATGACTCAGGAATGTCAATGTAACTATTCTTTTTTAATTATTATTATTGATAGAGTTAGACAGTGAGAGAGAGAGAGACAGAGAGAAAGGTCTTGCTTCCATTGGTTCACTCCTCAAATGGCCACTATGGCCGGTGCTGTGCTGATCCGAAGCCAGGAGCCAGGTGCTGCTTCTTCCTGATCTCCCATGCAGGTGCAGGGGCCCAAACACTTGGGCCATCCTCCACTGCCCTCCCGGGTCACAGCAGAGAGCTGGACTGGAAGAGGAGGAACCAGGACTAGAACCTGGCACCCATATGGGATGCCGGTGCTGCAGGCAGAGGATTAACCAAGTGAGCTACAGTGCAAAATCTGAAAACCACAACTTTTGGAGAAGGGGTACTCAACTTGTACTTACTACTCTATGAAAGTCTTGAGAGGTGGTCACTCTTGCCTTCATTTCATATCCATCAGACGAAACTGAGGAGGAAAGATGTTGTAGAGTAAATTAGCTAGAAGCCACTTTAGCATCTTCTGGCACAGATCACATGGGCTTCCACTGGATGACCAAGAATGTTGAAGTCCAATATCTAATAGCTATGGACATTACCTACGTGCTAAAGGAACTTTTCTTTCATGATGGAAGTACTGAGCAGATGGAGAGAAGAGGCTGCTTACACAAACGAATGGCCTCAAGAGGAAGAAAAATGAGAAAGACGAGAATAACAGTTGTTACTTAAAAAGTCATTTGGTAAGAAAGGAATTCAAACACATATAGCAAGAGATCATTTTTTCTGGAAATATCAAAATAATGACTGCAGTACAACCTTATCAGATTCACATGACTTCAAATAATTGTTGGAAATTGATAGAACTGATTAAGTATTGCTTTAAGATCATCAGCATGATAAATGTAATTTATTTTTTAAAGGGAACATAGAAATCTGCATGCTGGGAATAGAAAATATTTATTAGAATTTTGTTACCACAAGTAGAATACTGCATTCAGTTAAGTATGGCTCACCTATGGATTTTATATTCTGCTAAAATTATAAAGAAGTGATACTAACTTGAATTATTAGAAGTAACTTGTAAACAATTCTGCATATGATCTTTTGACATCTTGTTCAATCGTTGATCGAAGTTCTTTATCTTGGAAAAATTTATTCCAAAGATTGACATAAGAAGAACAATTAATCTTATGTAAGATCACATTTTTGTTGACTTTTATGATTTTAATTTAGTAATTTTTAAAAATTTGAGAGAAAGAGGCAGGCAATTCACTCCACAAATGCCAGCCATGACCAGGGCTGCCCACGAGTCAGGGGCTCAATCCAGGTCTGTCCTGGGAGGCAGGAACTCAACTACGTGGACCATCACTGCTACCTCCTAGGTTCTGTATTAGCAAGAAGCTGAGTCAGGAGCCAGATCCAGGAATACAAACTCAAGTAGTCCACTATGGGTCTCAGGTGTTTTAAATGGCATAAGATACCACTGGGCTAAAACACCTGCCCTGCTCCAATTTACTAATTTAAATGACTAGAGTTACCCTTCCCTGAGTTGTTTTGTATTTCAGATAAAAAACTGAGCTTACGATAATTTTTATTAAAACACAGTTTAATCTCAAAAACACATCTTTATTCTAACATTTTTGTGAGTTTCTTCTTACTGCTTATATTTTTAAAAATGTCTATTACCTTATTAAGTGAACATTATTTTTCACTGGTCTATACTTGCTCCTACCCCTAAACAACAGAAAGGATTACAGTAGGACCCATTTGCCAAGTGGCCCCAGCTTGAATCTGACCTGAATAACCAGTGCACTATGAAAGGCATGTACTGTGTTCTATAAAGGTTTTATGATAGGTTGTGAATTCAAGGAAACTTTTAAAAGTTACTTGAGGGGCCGGTGCCATGGTGTAGTGGGTAAAGCTGCCAACTGCAGTGCTGGCATCCCATGGGGGTGCCAGTTTGAGTCCCAGCTACTCACTTCTGATCCAGATCTCTGCTATGGCCTGGGAAAGCAGTAAAATATGGCCCAAGTTTTTGGGCCCCTGCACCTGCATGGGGAAACCTGGAGGAAGCTCCTGGCTCCTGGCTTCATATCAGTGAAGCTCTGGCCATTGCAGTCATTTGGGGAGTGGATCAGCAGATGGAAGTCCTCTCTCTCTCTCTCTCCTCTGTGTAACTCTTTCCAAAAATAAATAAATCTTTAAAAAGAGTTACTTGATATTTTATGCTACTGTACCAAGGACTGTATTATACTAATTATATACATAATTGGGGGAAAATTCTCCCCATCTTTTCAGGTAAATAGAAATTAGAGCAGCAGCAATTGAAGAAGTTACACAATATCTTGAAAGCAGACTCCAGTCTTCTGGAATATGAGTAGAGGCAGGTCTGATCTTTTTCCTGTATTTTTTTCTCCCTGGGAGTTAGGCTTTTGTCTGCTCTCATGAGGAAGAAAGGCTTCCTCAGCCACCCTGTCCCCTGGAGCCTTGGCAACCTGGCTCTGGTGTCAACTTTATGCTCGCCTGTTACCCTCCTTCCTATAAACCCGGGGGACATCTCTTGGCACCTTTCCACAGAAAGAGCTCCTACACCTCCTCCAGTACACTGTCGGGTAATTTCCATCAGGAATCAGCATTACAGTTGTCACATCCTGCGGGACAGCAACTGGGGCTGAGCACCTAGAAGGAGAAATGAAAGGGACAGGAGACACAAAGATGGCAGCAAGACAGGTGCCGATCAAGCTGAGACTTTATTTTTCAACCACACACTTATATATCATAGAGGCAGGGTGTCGGGTGGGGGAAGGAGGGGGAGCTTGTCTTGTAGCTGCAATGCTAGTGCAAGTAGGGGAAAGGCTACAAGGTCTTAAGGCATGAGGTCACACAAGGTTGCATTATCAGTACTATCTGGTCTGGCCTGTCTAGCCCTGTCTTTCCACTAAGAGGTCACATGCTGTTGGTCCCCGACATATCCCCCTTTCTTATCAATTAAACAGAAATGGCTACCGGTTAGGCCCAGCGTGATGAGTGAGCAGTGCCTATCTTAGGAATTGATCCAGAGCTCCAGCACCTCTTACCCGTCATTGGTTATCCTTGCCAGTCCCCAAGGACTCCTGTCTTAGGTGGATGAGGTTCTGGGAAGGTGCCCTTCATTGGCTTACTGCTCATTTTATTGATAGGCCTGGGGCCCTTCCTGAGCTCCCAACTGCGGCAGCGGCAGACCGAAGGGGAGAGTTAGTTGTTGGAGGGACCGTGACCTCATCGGCCAGACTTCACCAGCCAGAGAGAGATAACGTTTTCCATGGGATCTTCCATGGCCAGACTTTGGTAATGTATTTGAATTGGTCTGGCTGCTAAATTATCTACTTGCTGTTTGATAAAAGTCATCAGGTTATTGAAAAGACAAGGACCTACAGATAGTATAACAAGCAAACCAACAATGGAGCCTAAAAGCGGTAGCAAATAGGGAAGCAGTCCATTCCATCCCGTCCAAAAGGGATTTTCAGCCATGGCACGTCGACGACGCTCCAGATCTTCTTGAAGTGTTTTGATTTTATCGTGAACAATGCCAGATTTGTTAGTATAAAAACATTTTTCCTGTAATGCCAAGCAAATACTTCCCTGTTCGGTGGTAAGCAAGTCTAAGCCTCTATGATTTTGTAGAACCACTTCCACTAGGGAATCAGTTTGATCTTGAAGATCCTGGATGGTGGTAGACAGGGTTTGTACATCTTTAATAAGTTGCTGGGACAATTCTCTATATTTTTGGACCGCAATTCCCAGCCCTGTGGATCCTGTAACCACAGCTGTGAAAATTCCCAATGTGGCCAATAAAGGAATAAATTGAATAGCTCGCTTTTGTCTCCCTGCGATATAATCAAGCAAGAGGATAGGAACAGGGATATTTCCATCAATAATTTCTACATTGGGAAGAAGCATAGCATGCATGCAACTACCGGTCCAATTTGTTGGTAAAATGGTACAAGCTAAATTATTCCTACATACAAAAACAGTGGGGTGCTTTACCAAATTGTTTAAATTTAGTACTGACATAAGCAGGACCATTATCTATTTTAATTTTAACAGGTTTTCCCAATACAGAAAAGGCTGTGATAAGATGCGAGATAACGGCCGGCGCCGTGGCTCAATAGGCTAATCCTCCGCCTAGCGGCGCCGGCACACCGGGTTCTAGTCCCGGTCAGGGCGCCGGATTCTGTCCCGGTTGCCCCTCTTCCAGGCCAGCTCTCTGCTATGGCCAGGGAGTGCAGTGGAGGATGGCCCAGGTGCTTGGGCCCTGCACCCCATGGGAGACCAGGAAAAGCACCTGGATCCTGGCTCCTGCCATCGGATCAGCACGGTGCGCCGGCTGCAGCGGCGGCCATTGGAGGGTGAACCAACGGCAAAAGGAAGACCTTTCTCTCTGTCTCTCTCTCTCTCACTGTCCACTCTGCCTGTCAAAAATTAAAAAAAAAAAAAAAGATGCGAGATAACATCTTTAGCAGCTTCTCCTGTGTGGGGGGAGGCAAAGACAAAGCCACTACAGGTGTCTTTAGAGACATGGAGATACTTTAGTTTGCCAAATTTTGGGAAGTGTGTGACATCCATTTGCCACAGTTGATTAGGGAGAAGACCACATGGATTGACTCCCAAATGCGGTACAGGTTGGCTTGTAACGCATGAGGGACATTTTTTGACTATTTCACGAGCCTGTTCTTGTGAAATTTTACAAAACAAATGGACAGATTGAGCATTTAAGTGATGCAACCTATGCAAGTTTTGAGCTTTCTGCACTGATCCCACAGTTGTGGGGAAGGTAAGCCTTGTAGCAGCATCTGCCTGGGCATTACCTTCTGAGAGTGATCCTGGTAGGCTTGTGTGTGACCTAATATGTCCCAAATAGAAGGGCTGTTAACTTTCTCATATTAGCTTTCGAATTCATATAAACAAGGGCATAGCATTGGAAGTTTTTTAAGGAAAGGAGAAGTTTCAAGCAATGGAATGGAGTGAGCTACATATACACTATCAGTATAAATATTTACAGCCTGACTGGAAAACTGTGTAAAGACTTGAAGTATGGCATACAGCTAAACCAACTAGGCTGACTGATAAGATGCTTTAAAAACATGGGAACGGTTATCTGCCACGAAGGCAGCCATTCCATTGGAGAACCCATTTGTAAACACCATAACAGCCTTTGGAATTGGGTTATTTTTTGTATTTTTGGGGAAAACAAAGGAATAGGATTGGGCAAACTGTAACACGGGGTCATCAGGGAGGTGATTGTCAATGACTCCCATAAATCCTGACATGGCTCTTCCCCAGTCATCAGAAGTTTGAAGAAGGAACTGAGTCTGCTCTTGGGTATATGGCACTACTATAACATTGGGGTCTTTTCCGAAATATTGGCGGGAAAGGAAGCGAGCCTTGATGATTATTGAAGCAACCTGAGCAAATATACTGTAATTACCTTAGATGAGGAAATGGGGAGATGAACCCAGAAAAGAGGTTGACCCTTTTTATTGGACATGAGGGGTTTTTGCCAAAAAACTCCAGTGGGCATATGTGGTGTGGCTAAAACTACAAAAAGCAGTATAAGAAATCTGTGAAACAAACTGTTGGCTGATGGCTTGCGCTACTTGGTTTAATGCGTCTCCTGCAGCAGGGGTGAGCTCGTGGTGGGAAGAGGGATCTGGGTCTCCTCACAGAATGTCATTGAGGGGTAAAAGGACAGATATTTTTACATAGGGCCTGAGCCATTGAATATCTCCTAGAAGTTTTTGGAAATCATTAAGGGTATGGAGGCAATCCAAGCGGAACTGGATGCGGGGCACAAAAACCAATTCCTGTTGTAATTTTAAACCTAAATAGGTAAAGGGGTTTTGTAACTGGACCTTATCAGGAGCAAGGGCAACAAAGGCTTTAGAAAGTGCTGTAAAGCAATCTTGTAGGTCTGACTTGTTCTGAGCCGCCAGTAAAATGTCATCCATATAATGCAGAATATAAATGTGAGGCCAGCATAAATGAACTGAGTCCACTGCCTATGCTACAAACTTTTGACAAAGGGTGGGGCTATTGGCCATTCCCTGGGGCAAGATTTCCAATGAAATCTTTGTATCTGTCCCTGGAAATTAACACGGGGGAGGCTAAAGGCAAAATAAGGACGATCATCAGGGTGTAGAGGAATAGTGAAAAAGCAGTCTTTGAGAGCTATAATTATTTTGTAATAACCATTTGGGATGGCCACGGGGGTTGGGATGCCAGGTTGGAGGGCTCCCGTGGGTGCCATGACCTTATTAATGCTGCGTAAATCCTATAAAAGGCACAATTTACCAGATTTTTTCTTTATGACAAAAATGGGTGTATTCCAGGGAGAATTGGAAGGCTCTAGGTGTCCAGCCACGAGCTGCTCCTGTACAAGCGCTGTAGCGGCATTTAGCTTTTCTTGAGTAAGCAGCCACTGATCCACCCAAACAGGAGTTTGAGTATTCGATGTGATTTTATCTGCATGGGGTACAGGAAGGCCAGTGGCCATTACTAAAAATCCGAATATTTGAGCCCATGTCTATTTGTTTTAGAGGGGGCTGTAATAGGTTGAGTTATGCCCTGTCTCATTTTTCCAAGTCCTGTGCCAGGCACATAATCCATGCGCAGCATTTGTTGTGTGACCACAGCATTAGGGCTGCACAGGATAACTTCCATTTGGGAGAGAATGTCATGTCCCCACAGGTTAACAGGGAGGCCTGGTAATACAAAAGGAGTCACAGTGCCCTGATTGCCTTCCTTATCTTTCCAGTGTAATACCCTTGAGCTGATTTGGGGGTTATTGGACTGGCCTATACCTCGCAAATAGGTGAGAGATGCGGTCAGCAGCCAATGGGCGGGCCAGTGATCTTGAGATATGACTGTGGCATCTGCCTCTGCATCCAAAATGCCCTTGAAATCCTTTCCTTCAATAGTAAGGGTTAACACAGGCTTATTTTTTGTAATTGGCTGGACCCAATAAGCATCTGAGGAGCCCAAAGGGGTAATGCCTCGGGGCCTGGAAGAAATTGAGGATGTACTTCCAGTAATTAAAGGCAGAAGAACCAGTTGTGCTAGACGGGTGCCCTGTGGAACGGCAGCTACTCCACTGATAGCGGCTGCTATTAATTATATTAATGTAATTAATAATAATAGTTACAATTAATAATTAATTATATTAATACCGGGAAAAACTTGAATGCCTTTAAGGGTGGCTGACCCTCGGCCAAGAAGAAAAGCACAGGTACCCGAAGGCAAGGGGCCCGCACCCCTGTAGGGAATCTAATATTGTATCGGAGGCGGCACAGAGGTCCAGTCCTGTGCTACCTGGGGTTGCTCATTGTAGGGAAGCAATTGTTGAGGTAGTTGCTGAGCCTGAGGCTGGGAGGGGACAAACTGTACTGCCCCAGGGTTTGTCCTTTGAGAAACCGGGGGCCAGGGGCTGGCCCTTCTTGGAGTTTTCCCAGGGGCTGGCCCTTCTTTGAGTTTTCCCAGCAGGCGAGGAGGGAGGGGCTGGCCTGAAGAATTAGTCTTTGACCTACATTCATTTGCCCAGTGATAACCCCTATGACATTGGAGACATGGGGTGGAGGGGAGTGGCCTGCCTGGGAGAGTTGGAGCCAGGCCTTGGGCCATGGGCCTGTTTGTAAAGGCGGTTGGACATTCACAGGCAAAATGTCCAGGCTGTTTACAGGCGTAGCAAGTGGAGGTCCCCTTGGAGGGATTTTGGGTCAATTTGAGTGTGGCCCCAATTGCCAAGCCCATGGCATGGGCCGATCCCACACCAGCGCAGAGCCTTACATATTCTGAAAGATCACCCTTATGTTTATGAGGCTAAAGAATACCTTTACAAGCTGGGTTGGCATTTTCAAAGGCGAGGTGCGTAACAAATGCACTTCCATTTTCTCCTGGGCTAACTAGTCTCTCAGCTGCAACATTAAGGCGCGAGACAAAATCACTATAAGGCTGGTCGGGCCCGTGCTGAATCTTAGCCAAAGAGGTAGTGACTGCTCCCCTTTGAGGAAGCTTTCTCCAAGCCCCTAGTCTGGCAGTTTTAATTTGCGCTAGAAGTCCATCGGGGAACTGGGCCTGCGAATTGTTAGAATTATACAGGGCATCTCCCAAAAGTTTTTTGAGGGTCCAATTTTTAGATGAAGTTTTAGCAAATTTGAACATAATCAGCTCTCCACAGGACATAGTCACCTCTGCTGAGAGCAGCTCTGGTGAGGAAGTCCCAATCATTAGGTGTAAGCCACCGGGCACTCTGACTTTCCAATAAGGCCTGAGTATATGGGGCAGTGGGACCATACTGGGTGCAAGCAGTTTTAAGTTTTTCAATAAATCTGAGACTAAGTTTTTTATAGGGTGGCAGCTGTCCATTGTCAGGTCCCTGATTGGGGACCTGGTCTTCCTCCTCCGACCCAGGTTCCTCACTATCTTCCCCATAGTGGTGGGACAAATTCTCAGACTCTTTTTCCCCATCAGCGGCAGGCCCAGAGTGACTTTCGGCTTGTCTCCTGGTTACAGGGAAAGCTAGAAGGGGTTGGGTTTTGGACCTAACTTTACCTTGTTTAGGTTTTGTAAGGGGCTGCTCTAAGGCAAGGTGGTGGAGCTCCACATTGAGGTATTTTATTTCCTTAAGGAGATGGATGTGCTCTCGTCTGTGTTGAAGTGACTGTCGCAAGGCCGACAAGTCAGGCACAGGAGGGTTAAGGTCATAGAGAGCAGGGGCACAAATGGGAAGGTGCAGGTACGGCAGGGGATTTTTAACATTTTGGGGCCAATTGGAATTATGATCGTGCACGACCTCTTCCCCTAGAACAGCTTCCTCGTCTGGGTCTGATTTGTCTCAGATTGCAGGATATAACTGGCTTGTCCCATTGGGAGGGGCCGAAATCGGCTCCTTGATTTCATCTTTGGGGTTATCATCAGTGGAGGGTATATCCAGAATGACAGATGGGCATTTAGATGCAGGTTGGGAGGATTGCTGTAGTGTCTCCTCACCACCCCTTATCTAGGTGACGGGTTTTTAGAATGTCATTAATCAGGTTCCAATATGAAAAAATCATAATAGGCACTTTTGCAGGGCCAAAGGTTTCATGAAAATCCTTTAAACAACTTCCAAGTCTTTCCCACTTGATCTTGTCAATTGTTCCTTCCTTGGGGAACCAGGGACACAATCTTTCTACATACTCAAAAAATGCCTTTAGATCCTTATTTTTAACCGAACTCCTTGTGTCTTGAGGGCCTCCCTCAGACCCTAAATGAACATTTCCCGTGACGATAATGCCTGCCCCATAGCCGTCACTTACCTTGTGCCGTCTTCACTCCACAGCGTTGACCGATGCTAATGATCTTGGGTGGGCAGTTTTCTGATTGAGAGGCAAAAAGAACCTGGTGGAAGGAGCTTGATAATAATCAGGTGGGCTTTAAAGCCTTGTAAATTATGAGGCCCAGACCTATATCTCTTCACATAGGGTACATCCTAAGGGAGGTGTGAATCTCCTTGGGGAAGGCACCATGTTGACTTTCATTACCTAGCTGGCCTGGGAGGAGAGTTGGCCAGGTAAAGGCAGATGGCATCTCTAACAGGAAATTTACAGTTCTGCCTGCAGTGTTGCTGACCCTGGTTGGCTGTCCCCTCAGCTGCGGTGGTCACTTTGGAAGCTGGGCTGAGTGAAGGGCTTTTTAGCTTAGAGTCAATAAGATCTGTGGCCCTGACCTGGGCATCCTTCGACTCCAGGGCAGGTCCATTTCCAGTGATCCAACTCTTGGCAGAGCTACCAGGGCTCTTCACAAGCTGACCTCTGCTGAAGCCCAGGCTTTCCACATTGAAAGCTACTGCAGTAGACTGGCCTGTTGGGTCTCCTTGAGGGCAGATCACTGTACAGAACAGCCATTAATAGGCCTGCCACCCATTGCTTCTGATGCCTAGCTTTCTTTTCCTCCTGGTTTTTGTTAAAGCAGACCAGAGGATGCAAGTGAAGGGGGTGTTCAAGTCCCATCTCTAATCTTCAGTGGACTAAACTAGAAGTCTATAGTCACAGGCATGTTCTGTAGTAGTTTATGTTGAGGCAGACAATGCCCATGAGGAAAACTATATTCTCACTTTAAAACTTTCTTTCCCTTTGTTCTGAAAGGGAGGCTTTTCTGTTTACTGTTTACCTTGATGATGGCGAAGTAAATCTAGCTAAGAAATTATCATTTAAGCTCTTATTTTGGCTATGCTATTACAGAAATGTGTTAGCCATCTCTTTTATAAGATCTAAAATCAAATTTTGCATCTTGGAGATTCCTTCATAATAGAATTAGTTTCCTACCTCAAAGAGAATAGAGAAATGAAAGAACAAGTTGGGCTTAGACTAGAGAAATAGGGGTGCCAGTCCCAGATTGCTTACTGACAATAGCAATATCACATGAAAACTTAGAAAGCAGTTTTAACCATTAGATAACTTAAGAAAACATTTACCAGAAGGCCCAATGCCTTCCATAAATATTAATGAACATATTTGGAAACATCTCTTAAATATCTAACATGATGTGGCTTGTTTAACCAGCAAATTTCAGCACAAGCATATAAAATGTTTTCAGTTTTTATTAACAAGTTTAAAACATATGATACAGAGATTCAGGTCACATGAATTAAAGTATATCTTTGAATTATTTTAGCTGTTTAAATTTATGGACAATTTTATCTATAAGCCAATTAAAATAAAATTTTTAGTAATTTTCCCATGTAGACATACAGTATGTATGCACATATAACATAACATACTAGACCAATATAGCAATTTTAATAATTTTTTAAAAAATTTAACTTCTGTTTATAAATTACCAATTGATTTGAATTGCTTTTTCACATACTTTGTCACAGTTGGTACCTCTAATATATTATTGGCTTCATCTGGTTACAGAGTCATCCCAAAGTACTGAATACAATACATGTGGCTGGAAAAATTTCATCAGAACCTATAGGAGGACAGCTAAACACACAGAACCAACAATGCTTTAGTTTTATGAGCAACAAATCTGATATATAAAATTGTGGATGACAGAGCTTTAAGTTGTCACATTTAAAATTATAAACTCATTAACCAATTTGCTTACTTCACAGTATTTTTGAAAGCATCTGTAGGATTTTACAAAGCATTTAACCCTTTTAGGCCTCTGGGGCTTTTTTCCTAAGGTAACTATTGTGTCTAGTAACACAAGATGGTTAGACTTTTTCATTCTCAGACATTTGTATTAATAGCATTTTATATTATAGAAACTTAAAATTTAGTACCACTTCACATCTTGACAGTACTTTTAATATAGTCCAAATAGCCTGATTAGTTGGTGTCTCTACAAGATGAGACATAAGTCCTTTGATTTTTTCAGTTGGGCCCAAACTGGAAAAACCAAAGTCCAAAATTTACTGAAAATTTCAAAGTCCAAATTCTTTGAGATTTTGATTTTTGATTTTTTGAATACTTGTCAAGAATGTCAAGAAGGCTCAAAATCCAAAATATCTGGTTGAAGTAAGATTCTTTAACATCATGACATAATATAGACCAAATTTGATCATTGTTACAAGGTAATTATTTAGATGTTTGAAAAGAAGCACATATTTAAATAACCCATAGCTGTTAATAAAAATTCAGCTGTTTTTAAACAATTAAAATTTGACATCAAGAGAATATAACAGATTACTTTAACACACTGCTTTAACAGAGAATCAGATTTTAATTCTATATCCAAGAGAAATAGATTAGTATACTTGCGATGTTTTCCTTGACTTACATATCCAAATTAAGATTAAGGTACTTTAAACAGTGTTGAACTATTTTCAGACAGTTTATAAACTAACCCAAATAGTATTTTATAGAATATAACATGTAGAGTATACAAAAGTTTTACCCAATTTAAATTAGCAGTTACATCTAAATGACTTAGGATGCTGATATATTTTTATCTGAATTGAAATTAAAATTGCATTTATCTAAAACAAGTACTAATGACCCATTGCTGTTTTATTGAGTACTGATTACCTGGAAACCTGTTAAAATAAATTGCAAAATAAGTTCAGCATTTTACAAAGCAATAGTTTGAAAGATAGTGGTATTTCTAAATTTAAAGAAAAATTTACAGTGAGCCAGATCCATGCAGGAAACCTGATTTTCCTATCTGCATGATGAAACAAAGAGCCATCAGAAGAGAGGGATATCTAATTTTGTTTCTCAATAAGCAGGGAGCCCAAAAGGATGGGACTACCATTCCCTTGCTATTCTTATGGTAAGACTGGGACAAGAGGGACAAAAGACCAGTCGGAGACAATGGAGACAGCCATTCCCAAACTGTTTAGACAGAGATAGGAGACAATGGAGATGGCCATTCCCAAACTGTTTAGACAGAGATAGTAGACTTTGGCTTTGAGGAATAGATAAGCAAGGGGATTGAGAGAAGATGGAAGAGATTGCAGTGGAGGTGGGAGCAGAGGTTGCCCCCGCCCCCTGGAATTTGGCAGGAGGGGGAGGTGAGGACACAGCTGCCGCATGGGGGATAATGGCGCTGAACTTCAGCCGCTGAGGCCTCAGGAGGCAGCTGAGCTGGCGCCTGTAGATTGGAGCAATAAGGAAGTTCATCTGCAGGATAACAGGATCCGGGCAGAAGAAAGGATTTTTTGCTCAGGCTTATGCCCCCTAGTGTGAATCTTGGAGACCAGAAGTACACAGGGAAGGTTTAGTTCGAAGATAGGAAAAGGCTTGAACGTATGGAATCCCCTTCCATTTTCCCGAAGGCTCACGGAAGTGATAAAGATGTTATCAGGGTCAAACTACTCTGACTTCCGATCCCTCAGGGCCAAATGCGCCACCATAGAGGGGCTGCTTTTGAGGGCTGGGGCCAATTTGAGAGGGACCATATTACCTAAAAGGCAACCAAGAGGAGAATCAGATGGAACACGGGAGGAGGAATTTCCCATGGTGACTCAGAAGGTCAGATTAGTGGACAGCAAGCGTCCTTGAAGTCCTGGTCGTCTGACTAGGAGAGGAATGGGAGCAGAAGGTGGGGTCGTCACCCAAGTGCCCACTGGAGCCCAGGGCCTAGCCTGTAGAGAGGCGAACAGATGGTGTCGTCACTCACACCCACTGTTGCCTGGACACAGTGTCCGTAGACTAAAGGACTTAAGTAGAAGTAGGAGTGGTGGCTAGAGTTCAGTGCTACAACCTTTACGAGAGTAGTCAGGCGAGTATCCGACAGTAGACCACCACTCAAATAGCAGTTGCTGTGAGGAATTTTCGTCCCGTGTCTTACCTCAAAATTTGGAAAGCCGATGTGTGGATGGAGGTCGCGGAGCGTTCGGTGGCTTGGAAAGAGTTCCAGAGATGTGCTTCACGACCGGCAAAAATCCAGGACCCCAGAGCACTGGGGGACGCTGGATTACCAATATGAGGCTATCCGAGTCACGGCACCTTTGTTATATCTTAATGTTAGCAGTCGCAAAGCACACCGGACACCGGAGTAAGGGAAAGGGTTTATTGGGGAACACCCAACAGACCGGAGTGAAGGGGCGGCGAAGGAAAAAAGGGGGAAAGAGAATATAAGAGAGAGAAACAGAGGAGAGGAGCTATCAAGGAGAGAAGAGAGAACAGAGAAGAGAAGAGCAGAGCCAAGAGACCAGAGGAGGAGGCTAGAGAGAGGAACTGAGAGAGAGCAGGAGACAGGAGAGAAGGGGCAAGAGGGCACATGTTCAGCAACAGGCCCTTTTAAAACTTTGCCTGAGGGCGGGCAGGGAAGTAGGAGCAGCCAATCCCATTAGGCTGGGGGTGGAGCCTGGCTCAGGTAGCTGGGCCATGCGGCCAACTGCGCCAGTTTCCTAACAGAAGTCATTTTAGAAACCAGTCTAAATCCCAATTAATTCATTTTTGGAGAACAAAAGGGGCTACTATTTCAAAGCAATTAAAAAATAGCTGCTGATTATCATTACCAGTTTTGATAACCAAAGGTTCTTCCCTTCCAAAGACACTAACCCAATTTCCTTCTATTTCTCCTTGTTGCCTTGACTTTTGGGCTTTTAAGCAAAAGAATTGTGAAAAATTCTTCTGATCCTCTATTTATGAAAGGACAGGATGACGAAATGAAGGCACTTGACACAGTAAGAACCTAAAAGCTAGTTACCCCCTCCCTTTCCTGCCCAACTCAAGAGTTTCTGCAAACATTTTTTGGAAAACATCTAAGTGTTGCTTTGATTTTTGCACCATCCAAAGAAGAAAAGATGGTTATTTTATCATCACCAGTTACTCAGGACTAAGGTGGCTCATCTCATTAGTAAATATCCTGTGAAAGATAAACAGGAATGGCCAAATGACTAGGAGCGAAGTCTCTTGGAAAATTCAGCGATCCCCTTCATGGGTAATCTTCCAGGGCATCAGGTCATGTGTTGATCTATTGCAATCACAAACTGTAAATAAATATTTTCTTCTTACCTTCCAGCAAATGCTGCAGAACCTGCTGCTTCTCAGCTGCCCATGAATCCCCTTCTGCCTTATTGTTGCCAAGTAATTGTTGTTTACAAGTAGTTCTTCCCATTCTTTCCTACAGGGAAGAAACCAAAGCATGGGAATCCCTTTGTTAGAATTCTTCTGTTTAGAGAGGAACGCCACAGGAAATTAATTTTAAACAAGCCTAAAAAACACAACTTTTAAAACATGTATATTTAATTGTGTACTGTTTCTGAATGCATGGCTCTTTTTGGACACAGTTCTCCTATAGATTTAATGAGTATGTAGATAGCTATAATTATGCCAGTGACTGAAATTCATGTCTAAGGAGGCTATTCCATCTCCACTAAAGTGCTGGTAGTGCAGTTCAGTGAATAAAAAAAAGAATATTAATATAAACAATTGACTCCAAATAAATACTTGACTGCCAAAGACATATTTCCTCAAAAAATACACACAAAAAGGTAAATTGTTGATTACACTGATTTATTACATGAGATATTCATGTAGATAAACCTGTTTCTCTTTAATGTTAGGCTGGGCTGTTAAGTATAGTGAGACTACTTTCTTTAGCTGTTATTGCTATTCAAATTTCTGCAATTTCTTTCTACATGATCAGTTTTAAAATTTTAGCAGGTACAGGCAAATTTGAAAAAAAAATCAAACAATTAAAAATCCTCACTGTAAAAACTGCTAAAGGCAAGCCTGAACACCTTGCAGTACCTATGGCAGAGTAGATAAACAACTGAAATACACCTCCCAGGCATGCAGGCACCAGGGGCCTAACACCTGTGCCTCATTAATATACAAGTAAATCTGCTCTACTAGGAAACAACTGGAAATTAATTGTCCCAAACCATTTACTCAGTTTGAATAAAGGAATTAGACCTATATTCCCTGCATTTTGCACCAAACCAAACATAAAGAATCATTTGTCAACAGTGGAGGCAAGTAAGATTGACTTTATGAATTTTCTCTCAAATTCCAACATGCCACAAATAAACCTATAATTTAAAATTTATCATTAATGCTGAAACCCTGGCAACAATATCTTAAAAGGCTTGCTGAAAAGAAAGCCACTGAAACCTATACACATGTGCGTGCAGTCATTACCCACCAGACCCTATCATCTGAGGAAAAGACCATCTCGCATACTATGCTAACAGCCATGAATACGGCCGACTGAACGCCTGAAGCTCAAAAATCTGACCACGGGAAAGGCGCATCTTCTTCAAAGTGCTCCAGAAGTGCGACCAAAGACAATGATTATTCCCTACTGGCAGCAAAAGGATTTCCAGCCTTAACCTGGCATCTATCCCCTCAATCATATCCATTCTGCAGACAGGGACACACATTCTAACCCCACGCTGAAACTAATGCATTTCCACCACCACCCCACAAGAATTTCTTATTGTCAACACTCTGTTAGCAAGAAAAGACACTGCATTTTAATTTTAATTTGCATTTATTAGTGAAACTGCAAAATGCTCGTGCTTTTGGAGTCATTTTATCTCATCTTTTGAAAACTTCCTTTCTTGTCCTTTGCTCATTTTAGGCAGTACAGGGTAATGGTTACGATCTTGGAAAACAGAGCCACACTCCAGAATCAACAAAACCAGTCCTACAGTTAGGAACAGTACACAATTTACTGGCTGTTGCAGCATAAACATGTTACTTAGCCTCCCATGTGAATTGCAGTAACAACAGCATCTTAATTTCTTCATCTGTGAAATGGAGTGAAAGCATCTATTCAAAGAATTATAATGAAAGTTAGAAGAATATATGAAAAATTTGGAGAATATTCAACAAAGAATATTTTTACAAATTAATATTGTTGATGGGGGCTGGCATTGTGATATAGCAGGTAAAGCCATCACTTGCAATACCAGCATCCCATATGGGTGCCACTTCTTGTCCCTGCCGATGGCCTGAGAAAGCAGAAGAGGATGGCCCAAGTGTTTGGGCTGTTGCACCCATGCAAGAGACCTGGAAAAAGTCCCTGGCTCCTGGCTTCAGCCTGGCCCTACCCTGGCCTTGTGGCCATTTGGGGAGTGAACCACCCAATGGAGGATCTCTTTCTCCCTCTCTCTCCCTCTCTCTGTAACTCTGCCTTTCAAATAAACAAAATCTTTATAAAAATTAACATTGTTTTTAACAATAATTGTAATATTGCTTTTATTTTAGTATGCCCTATTTATCCTAGAGGAAAGTTTTTAATATATCGAAGACATCAGACACTTACCAGCCAGAACCTTTTTTTTCATCAAACTGTCTAGATTTTCAAAACATTGAAAATTTTTAATTTTAAGGTGTATTCAGAGGAATACACCTTGGAAATGCATGAATACCTGTAGGTGTAGGAACAAAAAGAACAGAAACACAGATTTCCAAAGTATTTTGAGTCCAACAGAAATTCGTGAGAGATCTTGCAGTGCTATGGCCTGAAAACACCAATAATTCTGGATACCACGGAAATATGAAGGACTCTTTCAGTCTTCCAAAATAAAGACACATTCACAGGTACCAAGAACTGTGGAAGTACAAGGAGGCACAGCTGGTGGCTAGATTCATTGCCATTCATTGCCATATTGTTAAGTTAAGCAGGCTTTTAAGGTCAAGTTACATACTGCTTATGTAATGAAGGATAATTATTTGTTAGCTTAAATAAGACCCTGTACCTTGATACAGAAAAAAGGAGACTAAGGTATGTGAATTGGAAACATTATCTCTGAAATTTATAATCATTTCAATGTATTCATGGGTACTTACAGTTCTAATTAAGGCATAACATCTCACACTGATGATGAGCTTTAACAACAGAGGAGCAGAAAGGCCACAAGACAATCTATTCATTGTGTTTCCCTCCCTTGGAATAGTATTTCATCAAGAAATTGTGACACGTGGTAAATAAACATTAATTAAGTGACTACTATGCCCTTAGCATTCATAGAGTTATTTTTTTAAGGAAGAAGTGAAGGGAGTGGAACAATGGATGTGTAAACAAATAATAATATGATTGATAGAAAGCACTTTGGTAGGTATAGAGGAGGGAAAAATGGTTTCATACTTCAAAATTAAAACTGAGGTTATAAAATAATTGTAGCACCTTAGGAACTGAAATACTAGTACCAAGCTACTAGAGGTTACGAGAACCCTGGAAAGAAAAATGCTGAAAGGTTTAGCACTTCTAGGGGAGCTAGGCCCTTACATCATCAAATGAACAGCAGTCCCTCTCCTGAACTTAGGTAACACATGGGGAAATAATGGGGAATTTCAAAGAATCAGCTGTGGAAATTTTCAGGTTAATTAACAAAATAAAAAGAAAAGAAATTGCTAAATTTTGTCTTATATAAAAATGTATATATAAAAGTACTTCAAGAAGTTCATGGGTGACCACAGGTACCTGGGAGGGTCCGACCTCTGTGGGTGACCACGGGTACCCAGGAGTCTCACCTCCGTGGGTGAGCACTAGTACCCGGGGTGGCTTCACCTCCATGGGTGAGCACGTGGTAGCTGGGGGGGCCTCACCTCCATGGGTGACCACGGGTACCCTGGGGGTCTGACCTCCGTGGGTGACCACGGGTACCTGGGGGGATCTCCCCTCCATGGGTGAGCATGTGGTAATGGGGTGGCCTCAACTCCGTGGGTGAGCACGGGTACGGGGGGGGCTCACCTCCATGGGTGACCACGGGTCCCTGGGGGGGCCTCCCCTCCGTGGGTGACCACAGGTACCAGGGGGGGCCTACCCTCCGTGGGTGACCACATTCATATGCGGCCGGATCATGTGCAGGTCTATGCGGTGCTCCTGCTCCCCGATGATGACCGTGGGCCACAGGAGCCCGTTGGCTGCACCGCTGTCCTCAGCCGCACCATTCCCAAACAGATCCGCGCTGTCCCCAGGCATGTTCTTGGCGGTGGCCACCGGGGTGTCACCTGGAAGAAGCACCCCTGGGGCAGGACGCGTCAGCCTCTCACAGCCGCCTTCATTCTCCTGACCTGGCTGCCTGTCCGCTTACAGGACCTGGCTCAATTGCCACCTCCTCCAGAAAGCCTTCAGTGATTGCACCTCCCTTACACTTGACTCCTAACACTTCCTGGGTCTCTTCCCCTTTAACTGAAGTGAACAGCTGGAGGCCCAGGGGGTCACGGTGGGATGCTCCATGTCCCCCTCCCCTCGGCAGAGCCATGTTGCTGACAGCAGGGGGGGAACTGGGGTCCACAGCTGTGCCATGGAAGAACAGTGCTGGGGGTGGAAGTCAGACCCAGCTCCCTTCCGGGTCACTCCCTAGGCCCGCAGTGCTGGGGCGGGAGCGCCCCTGGGGTCTCCCCGTGCTGGCTAGGAGCACCCAAGCCACCCCTGCAGCCTGAGTCCAGAGCAGAGCTGGGGCTGGAACCCAGAATCTGATGAGGGGAGCGGGAGTCCTCCCAGCCTGCCCTGGGGTCCCGCACACAGTGCTCCCCTCTCGGCTCGGCTGCTGAGCTCCGACCTGAGCGCTGGGTGCCGTGGCCTGTGGGGACCTTGGGGCCCTTGTTTGGTGCGGGGATTGAGACCAGGGCATCCCGGGTCAGACTGTGTGCCGGGCCAGCTCCCTGTGCATGCGCACCTCGGGAGCAGTGGTGAGGGCTCAAGTACGGGGGCCCCTGCAGTTCCAGCATCCCATATGGGCACAGATTTGAGTCCTGGCTGCTCCACTTTTGATCTAGCTCCCTGCTAACATGCCTAGGAAAGCAGCACAAGATGGCCCAAGTACCTGAGCTCCTGAAACCACGTGGGAGATTGGGAAGAAGATCCTGGCTCCTGGCTTTGGATCAGCCCAGCTCAGACCATGTGGCCCCTTGGGGAGTGAACCAGAAGATGGAAACTCTCTCTGTCTCTCCCTCTCTCTGTGTCTCTTCCTCTTTCTGTAACTCTGCCTTACAAATAAATAAATACATCTTTAAAAAATAAAAAAGAAACAAACTGGGATGGAGGAGCTGGTAGGCTCTAAACACAAAGAAAAGGAAAGGGAAGGCCTAGTTCTATTGCTTGCTCAGTTTATGATGTGTTTGTATTCAAATATTCCACTATACCCAATAATAATATACAAGTGGCAT